CTTACCAGCATGTGCTGTCACTTGAGTCTTTGATCTTAGCCATTTTGACCAGTGTAAGATGGAATCTCAGGGTCATTTTGTTTTGCATTTCCATGATGACTAAGGACATAGAGCATTTCTTTAAGTGCTTCTCGGCCATTAGAGATTTTTGTTGTTGTTGTTGGGAATTTTTGGTTTGGCTTTATATCCCATTTTTGAAAATTGGATTATTTGGATTCTGTGTGTTTAATTTCTTGACCTCTTTATATATTTTGGATATTAGTCTTCTATCTTATGTAGGGTTGGTGAAGATCATTTATTAATCTGTAAGCTGATGTTTTTTGTTTTACTGAGAGTGTCCTTTGCCCTACAGAAGCTTTTCAGCTTCATGAGGTACCATTTATTAATTGCTAATCTTAGTACCTGATTCAGGTGTTCTGTTCAGGAAATGGTCTCCTGTACCAGTGAGTTCAAGGCTATTCCCCACTTTCTCTTCTATTAGATTTAGGTATTTGGTTTTATGTTGAGATGTTTGATCCATTTAAACTTGAGTTTTGTGCAGAATGAAAAATATGGAATTATTTGCATTCTTCTACTTGCAGACATCCAGTTAGACCAGCACCATTTGTTGAAGATGCTGTCTTATTTTTCATTATATGGTTTTGGATACCTTGTAAAAATCAAGTGTCTGTAGTTGGGTGGGTTTATTTCTGGGTCTATGATTCAGTTCCATTCATCAACCAGTCTGTTTCTATGCCAATATCATGCAGTTTTAATTACTATTTCTCTGTACTACAGCATCAAATCAGGGATGATGATACCTCCAGAAGTTTTTTTATTATACAGAATTGTTTTTGCTGTTCTGGTTTTTGTTTGTTTGTTTTTGTTTTGTTTTCCATGTGAAGTTGAGAATTGTCCTTTCAAGGTCTGTAAAAAAATTATGGTGATATTTTCATGGAAATTGGATCTTTCCATCTTCCGATATCTTCTTCAGTTTATTTCTTCACAGACTTGAAGTTATTGTCATACAGGTATTTGACTTACTTGGTTAGAGTTACACCAAAATATTTTATATTGTTTGTGGCAATTGTGAAGGATCTTGTTTCCTTACATTCTTATATGTCCCCAAATTATTGATTATTTTATGTCACGAACTTTTTAGATTTAACATTTTCTTTGACAGATGTATAAATTTCTTCAATTTTATCTCCTATACCTGAGATTTTCTGCATCTCTTGTATTCTGTTGGTGATGCCTACATTTGTAGTTCCTATTTTCTTCCTTAAGTTTTCCATCTCCTGGATTCCCTAAGTTTGTATTTTCTTTATTGCTTCTATTTCCATTTTCTTGGAACTTTTAATTCATTTCCTTCACCATAGGCTGGTGGTTGAATACCAGGGAAGAGCCCACAGATGTCCTCTGCTGAGTGTGTCCCAGTAGGACCCACAGGCAGGGCATTAAAATGGGAGGTGGTCTAGCCTGAGTAATCCAGCAGCTCTCCTCAGGAAGGCAGGTAGATTCAGGGACCTGAGCCTTGGACCATGTGCTCTTGGATCATGCATCCCTCCTCTGGTAGAGATAGAGGTCAACGGATTTGTGACCCTGGAACTCAGGAGCCCACCTTGGGGAGGCAGGTAGAGCCCAGGGCCTGGAAAGCGGGTTATCCTGAATTCTTGGAGCCCTCATCAGGAAGGTGCATAGTCCCAGCATTCTCTAGGGAAACACAGATGTAAGTGTTTCACAGTCAGCAGCAGGACCTCATGATTGCTCTTCAGTGTCTGAGCTTAACCTCCCGCTATCCAGACAACATTCAGGCTGGGCACTGTCATCTTGGAGAGTCCCAAAGTTGTCCTCTCGCCCCCTGCCCTCAAGCTTCAAATTGCTCCCTAAGATTTTCTACATCAAAAACACTGGTAAAACAACTTAACCTAACTTTACTAACAATTTATATCTCCACATTTTTTAAGGGTGGTAGGTGCTGTTAACAATCTACATCTCTAAGTCCTTTCTGAGGGAGGTGGATGGATCACTAATCTCCCCCAGCAGCAATATTTGAAGAAAGAGCAATCACTATGATTGGGTGCCAATTACACTGCCCAGGAAAAGGCTGGCAGCCCCCTTAGAGTTTTCATTCAACTCATAGAATGGAAAGGCTGTGATGACCAAGGCAACAAGCACAGCAAAACTCCACAACAGCATGAATTCCTCAGGACATGCTGCCCTCAGGGTTCAGATTCTCTGAGGCATACCCATCATGGTTTTGCTAACCGGTGGGCCACATTCAATGAGTTTTAAAGCTGTTCTGCAGTTCCTCTTACACGGTCCTCAACAGTAGCATGCAGGTTACCTTCTGGAACCATGCATATGAGTCCATGGGGATGAAGACTCTAGGTATGTGTTACCTTCAGCAATAGAGCCTTACCATCATTTTGTATAGCGTTACCAATAACCTTTGCAATAGCCTAGGTTGTTGGGTTTCTCATGGAACCCCTTTTGGCAAAAACTTGATTAGATGCAACACATTACTGGTAATGGAAATTTGATTTGGTGATGAGAGATGTCCATCTGTGGTGCTGTCTCCCTCATTATTTAGCAATTTCATTTTGATCTCTTCGTACATGAATCTAAAGAAGATTCTACTCTATTAAGTTTCCATAGGAACCCTCAAATAGCCCTTAGTTTAGCTGTCTTTCCCCTCCCTTGCCTTGCTCTTCTATCCCCTTCCATGTTTGAATCTCCTATTCCAACAGTATCCTTCTCGTCCATCCATAAGTATCTATTCTATTTCCTTTCCCAAGGAAGACCTGTACCTGTCCCTTTTCATTGAACACTTAAAAATAGTTATTGGCCATTTGTGTTTCTTTTCTCCTCTTATTTTCCTCTTTTTTGAAAACTGTCTAACCATTTCAGTTGTCCATTTGTTAATTGGCATTTTTATTTTCTTGGTCTTTAATTTCTCAAATTTTTATGTGTTAGCTTTGATTCTTCAGACATGTGTACTCTGCTTGGAATACTAACAAATATTGGGAAATTAATAAAGTGCCATGGGAGAGGGGGATTCTAAGGGAGGAGAATTGAAATGGAATGGTATGAAGGATTAAATGAGAATAATGGTACAGAAAGGCAAAAATTGGAAGACAATAGAAGAATAGGATACAGGCAGGAATGTAGAAAGTAAGAAATAAATAATGTTTTAATTGCATTAATTTTTACTACATGTATTGTGTGTCTGTCTATTTGACTGTGAGAGAGAGAGAGAGAGAGAGAGAGAGAGAGAGAGAGAGAGCATATACCATGCAAGGGCTAGCATGTGGAAGTCAGAAAAAGCTTGTATAAATACATTTTCTCCTTCTTCCATGTGAAGAAATAAACTCGACCATTAGTTTTAGTCCCAAATAACTTTATTCGCTGGCACCTTAACTGTATGATTTTAAACCTGAGGAGAAATAAGACAACACAGAGTGTGAGGGCACTGACCGCTAAGTCTGACTACTGGGGTTCAACTTCAGAACAACCATGGTAGGAAAAGAGTAGTGACTTCTGCAGGTTCACCTGGGACCTCCACTCACATGGCATGGCATCTCAACACAGAAACACACACAAAATAAATACATGTAAATATCCTGTAATTGAAGGTAATCTAGACAGCTACTTAGAATTCAATAAACATAAGATGGTACACAATGACTGACAGAGTATCAAGTATAATACAGTAAGATGCATGTCAACTGCAAAATACAACTAAGGCATATGATGGAAAGACCAAGATATAGGGTTCAAGACAAGGTCAGCAGTGGAATGCTTGCTGGCATGCTCCAAAGCCAGGATTCAATGAACAGCACTGAAAAACAAATTTATAAGATTTTCAATATTTATAAGCATACAAACTTTCATATGTAAACACATTTGAAGACACATCATCACTTATTAATGACTTTAAAGCTTCAGAATCTATCCCTGAACATCTCAACAACCTGTCTCTGTAGGGGAAAATGGGATTACTAGACACGTCTGTATTTTCTCTGTTGAGTATGTAGTAAGACAGAAAAAATAAAGATGCAAGCAATGTCAACTCCAAATTTATGTAATTTACCAGGAAGAAAGTTGAACTGGGCAATCTTTTCATGTGTACACAAAATGGAATTGGATGCTGTGATGCTGAAGTGACTTCAGCCTACGTGATGGATGATCTTACATATGAACTTCATTGTATCAAGGATGTCAAAGAGATTCCTCAAACACCACTTTTGGTGTGTCTGTGACATTTCTAGACATCACTTGGATATGAAGTCTCTGACTTAATTAATGATTTAAGCCATGAGTACTTTCCCATTTTTTAATAAATTATTAACAGTTACAGGCTGGATTGGAGAAAGCAGTTACAGCCTTGGAGACTGTATTTTGTCCTAGTCCCTTTACACTATGCTCAGATATGTGTCCTACCCACCATGATGTGAATAGCTCTGCTCCACTATGTCCTCTTACCATGCTTAAAACCTCTGGAATCATAAACTAAAATAGATCATTGCTTCGTTATACAGTTTTACTCAGGTCACAGTAGTGATAAACCAGAGGGCATATGTCTTCCAGCCAATATGGAAGAATGAAGCTAGATAATGGAACTATTGTTTGCTAGCCACCTCTGCAGAAGAGGCACCACTAATCTGAAGGTTCATAAAGGGTTGGTATAAGGTCATATTCACTGGTATAGAACCAGTGTTGATAAAGGTAACAGAGAAAAGAATAGTGGAAAGTGTGGTTAACTGTCACTTAGTGATGGAAGGAAGAAGGATGGAAAAGAAGGAAACAAGAATCTGAAAAGGGGCAGCACTGGAGGAGTGGGAAGCAGAGGGCATCTCTCTATCCCCAGCTGAACTACCAACAGCTGATGCTGATTCTGGGCAGGTGCCAAGGCTTGGGTGAAGCAGGGAATAGATGTTCCAGTGTCATGAGGTTATGAGAGCACAGGGAAGGCGTCAGGACTCACCTGCAGCAGGACGGGGCAAGAACAGGTCTGGCCTCTAAAACTCATTACAGAGCAGTTGGTTATGGCAACATGTAAAATCCAATGTTATATGATAATGGTTAAAAGTCTTATTTAAGCATATGGAAGAACAATCCTGCATCCCAAACAGAATATTATCACCTGTACAAGAAGAAAAGCAAGGTGCAAATAAGAATGTCTGTAAAATCAGAGTGTCGGTAAGTGATGAGTGTCAGGGTCCCCAAGGCAACATACGCCAGCCACACTGAGATGACCGTAGTTACCATCAGTCAACCTGTAATCTGGCCTGCAGGCATGCCTCCCATCACCAAAATTGCTGAGCTGAAGTTTTACAGTTCAAATCTTCTCATCCTTGAATATGTTTCCCAAGAAAGCTCACCTCAAAAAAGTCTCCTTCACTGGCCAAAAACAGAAGACAGGCAGTGTCAAGTAAAAAGGAACCATCTTCTGAGTTTAAACAGAAACATAGCCGTCCACAGTTTCTGCTTTGTCCCCATTAGTGTAGCAAAGGCTACTTCATTCCTCAGCAGCAAACAGTATCACCCCCTGCTCTCCCAGGCTTGACTCACCTTCAGAGGCTACCAGTATGCTACATTCCTGGCCATCCTTGGCCTCACAGGTGGTTTCTCCTATCTCACAAATTCCATCAGAGTTTAACATGTCACACTTCAAACATGTCAGAGCTGAAAAGGCAAAACCAAGGGTAGGATATTCACTCAGAGCCAGTTTCAACCTAGAGCTGAGCCTGTGGCTATCATGCATAAGAAACAATGATTAAGAAAAGAGATGGATGTAGGCCGAGCTGAGCCTCACTGGGTGGCCCATGACCTTGGAACCTAGGAAGGGATTTGAGAAGAGCCAGGTTTCCCCATTTCAAATCCCAGCACTGGGATGTGAGGAAGAAAGATCAAAGCTCTGGTGTAGGAAGCTTGATCCTACAACCTACAACACAAGTGCATCCCAACACCTCCATGAAGGAGGTGAAGGACCTTTCTGTGTCATTCCCAACTCAAAATTAGGCTGCTGCACAGGTAAACCGGAGGATTTGAGAATATTAGTTCATTAAGGAATGAGCAAAGATTATATTCCCACCAGTAATGGAGGAGGTTCCCCTTTCTCCACATCCTCTCCAGCATGTGTTCTCACTTGACTTTTTGATCCTAACCATTCTGATGGATGTGAGGTAAAATCTCAGGATCATTTTAATTTGCTTTTCCCTAATGATTAAGGATGTTGAGCATTTCTTTAAGTGTTTTTCTGCTATTTGATATTCCTCTATTGAGAATCCTCTGTTTAGCTCTGTACTCCATTTTTTAATTGGATTGCTTGATTTGTTGCTGTTTAACTTCTTGAATTCTTTATATATTCTGGATATTAGCCCTCCGTCAGATATAGGGTTGGTGAAGATCCTTTCCCTGTCTGTAGGCTATTGTTTTGTTCTGGCGACAATGTTCTTTGCTTTACAGAAGCTTTTCAGTTTCATGAGGTCCCATTTATTGATTGTTAGTATTCTGTTCAGGAAGTTGTCTCCTGTGCCAAAGAGTTCTTCCCTGCTTTTTCTTCTAAGAGGTTTAGTTTTTGTGGTTTTATGTTGAGGTCTTTGATCCACTTGGACTTTAGTTTTGTGCAGGATAATAAATATGGATCTATTTTCCATTTTTCTACATGTAGATATCCAGTTAGACCAGGACTATTTGTTGAAAATGCTCTCTTTTTTTCATTGTATTGTTTTGGTTTCTTTGTCAAAAATTAAGTATCCGTAGGTGTGTGGGTTTATTTCTGGGTCTTTTATTCGATTCCATTGACCCACCATTCTGTTTCTAGGGCAGTACCATGCCATTTTTGTTACTAATGCTTTGTAGTACACTTTGAGATCAGGGATGGAGATACCTCCAGACAACCACTTTGGAAATCAATCTGGCGCTTTCTCAGACAATTAGGAATACTGTTTCCTCAAGATCCAGCTATATGACTCCTATAGGCATATATCCAAAACATGCTCAAGTATAAAACAAGGACATTTGCTCAACCATGCTCAGGTTTACTTGTTATAGCCAGAATCTGGAAACCACTCAAATGTCACTCAACTGAGGAATGGATACAGAAATCGTGGTACATTTACACAATGGAATACTACTCAGCAATTAAAAACAAGGAAATCATGAAATTTGCTGGCAAATGGTGGAAGCTAGAAAAGATCATCCTGAGTTAGTTATCCCAGAAACAGAAAGACACACATGGTATATATTCACTTATAAGTAGATATTATATATATAATATAGGATAAACATACTAAAACCTGTACACCTAAAGAAGCTAAGCAAGGAGGAGGACCCTGGGTAAGATGATCAATCCTTACTCAGAAAGACAAATGGGATGGATATTGGAAGAAGGATAAATCAGGAAAGAGGACAGGAACCTACCACAGAGGTCCTCTAATAAACTCTACCCAGCAAGGTATCAAAGTCGATGCTGAGACTGATAGCCAAACTTTGGGCATAGTGCAGGGAATCTTATGAAAGAAGGAAGAAGGGGGAGATAGGAATACCTGGAGGGGACAGGAGCTCTACCAGGAGAACAATAGATCCAAAAATTCTGGGCACAGGGGTCTTTTGTGAGACTGACACTCCAACCAAGGACTATGCATAGAGATAACCTAGAACCCTTACACAGATGTAGCTCATGGTAGTTAGTCTCCAAGTGGGTGCCCTGGTAATAGGAAAAGGAATTGTCTCTGATATGAGCTCAGTGGCTGACTCTTTGATCACCTCCCCCTGATTGGGGAGCAGCCTTGCCAGGCCACAGAAGAAAACTGTGCATCCAGTCCTGATGAGACCTAATCAATCGGCTAGAGTCAGAGGGAAGGCAAAGAGTACCTCCCCTATCAGTGGACTTGGGGAGGGGCATGGAAGGAAATGAGGAAGGAAGGGTAGGATTTAGAGGGGATGAAGGAGGGGGCTACATTGGGAATACAAAGTGAATAAACTGTAATTTATAAAAATATAAATAAATTTAAAAAATAGTTGTTACCAAAATAAAGATAGAGAAAGAACTGAAGGTCCATAGGGGAGAAACACCAGAACCAGAGAACTGACAAAGCTGAGGAGGAATGGGAATGGTTCCTCCTGTATACAAAGAGGGCAGAGAAGGAAGGGGATGTGAGGACATGGAGATGAAGAGTGTGGCATCACTTTTGAAAGCAGACCAGTCTTGTACCCTGTTCCTCACCTCTCACAACCAATACCTCTTGACAGACTGGTTGTCCTCCATCACCAGCCCCTACCATCTGCCAGGATCTCACCTTGCAGGAAGCCCACCACAAAGGAGAGGCCCAGCAGGAGCAGCAGAAGATTCTTCCCCATTGAAGCAGGATTTCAGGCAAAGAGAACAGCAGAGAGCAGGAGAGCGCACTCAAGGCCTCAATAATGCATACTTATATATGAGCTCAGGCTAGACAGGGAAGCCAATGGGATCCCAAGCCGGTGGACACAGCTGGTAGCTTGGGGGAAGCACAGATCCTATCTGTTTTGCTGTCTGCTGACTTCTACACCACTATGCAGTGATTCAAGTACTTCTGGATTCTTGTCCACATATTTATTTCACTAACTTTCCAATGGAGATTAATAGTTCTGAGATTCAAAGGAATTTTGAGACTGGGTGGCCGAGGAGCCTAGAGGGTGCTATACACTAGTCAATGACCCTTCACACAAAAGGAAACTTTATTTTCAATCTCCACAACTGGATTTTAAATATATTGGGATATATGTCTAGCTTTATGTTTAATTGTTTCAATAAATCGCTGAAACCCAAATAGCACATTTGGGTTCATCTTCTATGCAGACTAAAGTCATCTTCCTTGAGGCCAGATGGAAAGACAAGGAAATTTACAGGGTTGTGGAAGGTAGCATGATAAGAAAATGGGACTTTCATTCTGGGTCCAGTTTTCCTGTTCTACTGATGGAGTCAGGAAACTTAAAGCAACAATGATGAAGCCAAAATTACACAGAGACTGCATCTGTGCTCTAAAAAAAACTCTCAAATAGGTGCAAAGACAAAAATAAACTCTGCCTTACTTAGTACCAAAAAAAAAAAAGTGTAACTTCTTCCATCTCCTCTCATCCCTAAGTTGACAGAATATCCCTCATCTAACTCTGGAGCTGCCAAAATAGTATAGACACCCATTGTAAAGGCAGAGAAGACTCTCCCTGGGAAGCCCTTACCTGCATTTGTGTGTTGTTAGATCATGGGCCTGCCATGTATAGACAAGAAAATCAGATGGTTCCCTCCCCTGCAACCATACAGTTCTAGTCCCTGTCTCCTACAATTGTAATAGAAATTCCTATATGTGTTTCCATGTTTCTGATGCTCCAAGGAAGTCTCTCTGAAGCCCACTCCAGAAAATATTTTGTTTTGTGTTTGTTTGTTTCTTAAGAGGGACCTTACTATGTAGCCCTATCTGGCCTCTGCCTGTTTCTGCCTCTGGAGTGCTAGGTTTTAAAGTACTATGCAACCATATCTGGCCAGAACCTATTTTCTAGACCTGGCCAAGCTAATCACTATCTCAGAAATGATATGAAAGTAAGAAATTCCTAGCTCTTGTTTCTCCATCTCTAATGTACTTTTCCCTCTTTCTCTTTCTTCTTCCTTATCCCTCCCCCTCCCTTTTCAGATATCCACCCATGGTGTTACTGTCAGATATCTCTCAAACTCTTTGTCACTGACTCTCTTAGCAATTCCACAATGTCTTTAATATACCTCAAACTCACAGTACCTGATGCCTCTGGTAAACTGCACAATCCTTCAAAATGCTCTCTAACTTCCTGCTCCAATCATGACCCCCTCCTTTTGGACAAGAGCCATCTCTCTCTGATCAAAGCTTATTTCTTGAGTAATTTCATGTCAGCTCTCGTCCAAATATCTATTCTCTTTTTTCTTTTTTATTATTTTTTTCTTTTTTACAAGTCTTTTTATTATTATTATTATTAATTACACTTTATTCATTTTGTATCCCCCCATAAGCCCCTCCCTCCTCCCCTCCCGATCCCACCCTTCCTCCTCTTTCTGCATGCATGCCCCTCCCCAAGTCCACTGATAGGAGAGGTCCTCCTCTCCTTCCTTCTGACCTTAGTCTATCAGATCACATCAGGAATGGCTGCATTGTCTTCTTCTGTGGCCTGGTAAGGCTGTTCCCCCCTCAGGGGGAGGTGATCAAAGAGCAGGCCAATAGATTATGTCAGAGGCAGTCCCTCTTCCCATCACTATGTAAGCCATTTGGACACTAAACTGCCATGGGCTGCATCTGTGCAGGGGTTCTAGGTTATCTCCATGAATAGTCCTTGGTTGGAGTATGAGTGTTTGGGAAGTTCCCTATGTTCAAATTTTCTTGTTCTGTTGCTCTCCTTGTGGAGTTCCTGTCCTCTCCAGATCTTGCTATTTCCCACTTCTTACATAAAATTCCATTCACTCTGCCCGCCAGTTGGCCATCAGGCTCAGCATCTGTTTTGATAGTCTGCAGGGCAGAGGCTTTCAGTTGCCATCTGTGGCAGGTTCCTAGGTTGTTTCCTGTTTTCTTCTTCTGGCTTTCAGAGGCCCTCTGTAGCAGGTTCCTAGGTTGTTTCCTGTTTTCTTCTTCTTCTGATGTCCATCCTCTTTGTCTTTCAGGATGGGGATTGAGCGTTTTAGTTAGGGTCCTCTCTTTTGCTTAGTTTGTTTAGATGTACCGATTTTAGTGGGTTTATCCTATGTTGTATGTTTATATGAGTGAGTATATACCTTGTGTGTCTTTTTGCTTCTGGGACAACTCACTCAGGATGATCCTTTCCAGGTCCCACCATTTACCTGCAAATTTCATGATTTCCTTATTTTTCATTGCTGAATAATACTCCATTGTATAGATGTACCACTAAAGAAGCTGAAAAGCAGCAAACCAAGTAATCCACTTAAAAAATGGGGAACAGAGCTAAATAGAGAATTCTCTGTAGAGGAATATCTATTCTCTTTTTTCTTTTTTATTATTTTTATTTTTATTTATTACAGTTTATTCATTTTGAATACCCCTGTACCTCCTTCCCTCCTCCCCTCGCAATCCCACCACCCTCTTCCTCACCCCTGTCCCTCCCTCAGTCCACTGAAAAAGGAGGTCCTCCTCCCCTTCCCTCTGATTCTAGTCTATCAGGTCTCATCAAGAGTGGTTGCATTGCCTTCTTCTGTGGACTGGTAAGGCTGCTCCCCCCTCAGGGAGAGGTGATCAAAAAGCAGGCCAATCAGTTCCTCTCAGAGACAGTACCTGTTCCCATTACTATGGAGGCCACTTGGATACTGAACTGCCATAGGCTACCTCTGTGCAGGGGTTCCAGGCCATCTCCATGAGTTGTCTTTGGCTGGAGTATCAGTTTCAGAAAAGACTCCTGTGCCCAGACTTTTAGGATCTGTCATTGTCCTTGTGGAGCTCCTGTCCTCTCCAAGTCTTACTATCTCCCACTTCTTTCATAAGATTCCCTGTACTTTGCCCAAAGTTTGGCTATGAGTCTCAGGATCTGTCTCGATACCCTGCAGGGTAGAGCCTTTCAGAGGTCCCCTGTAGTAAGCTCCTGTCTTGTTCCCTGTTTTCTCCCTCCTCCAATGTCCATCCTCTTTGCCTTTCTGAATGGGCATTGAGCACCTTAGCCAGTCTTCCTTCCTGATTAGCTTGCTTATATGTACAGATTTTAGTATGTTTATCTGATATTATATGTCTAGTATCTACTTATAAGTGAGTATATACCGTGTGTGTCTTTCTGTTTCTGGGATACCTCACTCAGGATGATCTTTTCCAGTTCCCACCATTTACCTGCAAATTTCAGGATTCCTTTTTTTTTTTTTAATCACTGACTAATATTCCATTGTGTAGATGTACCACAATTTCTGTATCCATTCTTCAACTGAGGGGCATCTGGGCTGTTTCCAGGTTCTGGCTATTACAAATAAAGCTGCTACAAATATGGTTGAGCAAATGTCCTTGTTGTATACTTGAGCATCTTTTGGATATATGCCTAGGAGTGGTATACCTGGATCTTGAGGAAGCACTATTTCCAATTTTCTGAGAAAGCGCCTGATTGATTTCCAAAGTAGTTGTATAAGTTTATATTCCCACCAGCAGTGGAGGAGGGACCCCTTTCTCCACATCCTGTCCAGCATGTGTTGTCACTTGAGTTATTCATCTTAGCCATTCTGATGGATGTAAGGTGAAATCTCAGGCTCCTTTTGATTTGAATTTCCCTCATGACTAAGAACGTTGAGCATTTCTTTAAGTGTTTCTCTGCCACTCAATATTCCTCTATCGAGAATTCTCTGTTTAGCTCTGTTCCCCATTTTTTAATTGGATTATTTGATTTGTTGCTGTTTAGCTTCTTGAGTTCTTTATATATACTGGATATTAGCCCTCTGTCAGATAGAGGGTTGGTGAAGATTCTTTCCCAATCTGTAGGCAGTCGTTTTGTTTTGATGACAGAAGCTTTTGCTTTGTCCTTTGCTTTACTGAAGCTTTTCAGTTTCAGGAGGTCCCATTTATTGATTGTTGCTCTTAGAGCCTCTTTTTTCTTAAGAGGTATATGTAATAATTTCCCTCAGCATTTCGCTATTAAGCCCATGTTCAATGATTTCTATAAATTAATTCTCTGGTAAATACTTTTACCAGTGAACCTTGTGTTATTGAATCTAGTACAATAGCAGATACAAGATAGACAGAAGGGCAGATCTTTCTCTATTCTGCTACTCACAGATGCATACAATGCACTACCTCCTCAGAAAAGGCAATGGCTCGCAAGTTGTCTGGGAGACTGAAGGTTCTATCTTCCTTTCCATGGTAAATTCACCCACTGAGAATCTGTAGTATTCCCCTGTCCCTAGATCTCCATACAAAGGTTCCATTGCCTTTTCCCTTCTGAAGTGTGTGTTTATGAAAGCTAAATGTTCTTTATAAAAAGAAATCAGATCTCACAACAGTCTTTGAGACCCAGAACGAAATTTCTCAACTCAATGGGTACATCTTCTCAGATTGGGGACCAGTATTGCTCTCGGGATGTGTTTGTTCCCCTGTACAAAGCTGTGGTCAGGAAGGAACACAGATCCAACTGGAATTGGTCTGCATCCTGTTAGCTGATCTCCTCCTACCAAGACTCAGCAATTTGTTAGATCCCACATCAGCTGCTGCTCAATAATAAGTGATTCCGCATATGGAGCCCAGACCAACAGATTTCTGCCTTTTTCCTACAGGCATCTGAGACACCCTGACTACAGTAGGTACTGTCCTCTACTCATCAGCCACATGCATAGAGCCTCCCTGCTTCTTCTGAAGCTTAGAAAAAGTCCTTGCTCTCTGTCA